GTCTATGTGTGCAGGGTCAGACACTCTTTGATGGAGCAAAGCCCATCAATGCAAGAGAGAGAGAGAGAGAGAGAGAGAGAGAGAGACAGCAAAAAAATGGCAGAACGGGGATCCACCCATCCATTTCCTCCTTTTCCAAACACACCCCTTTCTTCCAAGAAGTTTCAATTCAGGATTTGGCACAGAAGGAAACATACTTGACATATCGAAGGTCTCTGTCAATCTGGAAAACCACTGAGCTTGGGGTGACGGGGCTGATAGGAGCTAGGGATGTGCTAAGGAGGGAAGGATGCGGCCCCACCGCAAACCTCATCCATTACTCAGCATCACACCCACACCTAGTTGAAGCCCCTCAGAATCCCACCTGTCTGATGTTCATACCTGTGATCCCACCTTCGGCTCATGACATTGGCTTGTTCTATGAAATTGCACTCTGGGGGCAGAAAAGCATGAGAGAGACAGCAAATATTTGTTGCAGCGTGTCCTCTCACCTGGGAGAGGAGAGCTCCTGGTTCAGAGTCCCAGCCAGCTCTGCTTTCCACCAACACCTGTGGGTTTTCCATTTTTCTCTTCCCACTGACATTCGAGATCTGGTGGCTAGAGGATTTTTAATTTTTTGTACTTGCACATAACTCCTTTTCTCCCCAGTCCTCTTGGTCATCATGGTATGGCCTTGATAATAGGAGATACTGCTATCCATTCTTTGTCTGCACAGTTGATTCCCCACCTTCCCTGAATGCTATGTTTTTGCTTTCCCCCTCCAATTTTAATTTCATTTCCTCCTCTGTCCCACCCATGCTGAGTTTCACTCCCGTGTTCATAGCTGTCCCTCTTGGTTTTGCATCATTCCCCCGGTGCCTTCACCTCACTCAGTAACACAACTGTTGAAGAGCACCGTGCCCAAGACAAGCAGGTGCCACACCTTTCTCAAAGCCCACTCTGATGAAGGAATCTCTGCGGGGCTCAATCTGAGCAGTTGCACGAACAGCTGGGAATATACAAGGCGATACGATCTCTCAGCCTTATGCCTGTAGAGTTTCTTTCTAATGAAATTGCCAGTGGGGATTTTGTCAACTACTTCGCTGAAATCGAGATAAATTACATCCACAGCATCCCCGCAATCCACTAAGCCACTAAACCAATAAAAAAAAGTGAGATTAGATTAGTCTGGCAGAAATTATTCTTCAGAAATCCTGGGTTGCTTTGACCGCACGCTCTATGGTTCAAGATGCTTGCAAACGTACACCTTTACCAATCGTCCTGCTTTTTAGTATCAAAGCCAGACTGGTGGGTCGGCCACTTTCTATAAGCTGCTTCCTCTGCTCTGCATTCATTCTGCAGCCAAGGGGAGCTCCAAAGCCTGAGCTCAATCAAAGGCACTAAGTTTTTCCCTACCAAGTCTTTGGCAAATTCATGAATCATGTTGTGTACGTGAGAATACAGTTTTCTCGGAAGACAGTGGCTAAGGAGGAACGAAACCATTGACTGGTTGTTGTGGGTTATTTCGGGCTCTTTGGCCGTGTTCTGAAGGTTGTTCTTCCTAACGTTTCTCCAGTCTCTGTGGCCGGCAACTTCAGAGGACAGCACTCTTTCTTTCTCTAAGCTATCCATCCCCTTCTTCCTCACTGTAGCTTCAAACATGAACTCACTCCCATCATCCCACAGCTGGTCAGCCCCAATTGTTTTGACTTTCCCTTTTTTCCAATACCCCACCTGCAAGTCTCGGCCGCTTCTCCCCCCCCCCTCTACATGCAAGGCTTAAAAACCTCCTCCTTCCCAGCCCACCGCACATCACACCATGATCTCTCCACCCCTGAGGAGCAACAGCCTCCTTGAGAGCCAAGGTCCACAGAAAGAGTGGAGGCGGTGGAAGAGGGAGGACCCTTCGATCCATCTCATCTCCCAGAGGCATCTGGACGAAGCCTCAAGGATGGTGGTACCAAGAACATAATCTTTCCCCTGGTTTTCCATTTCACCTCTTCAAGGGCTTCCAGCTCTTCCTCTCCCATCTACAAATCTCCTTTCATCACTTGCCTCCCTCCCAGTGTTTTGGGAGCATCCTCATGGCCTCCTGTGTCTTCATCGGAGATTTGCACCAAGTGGCCCCGCTCCTCGGCGGACATGATGGTTTCTTGGAAAACAGACCTTTCTCTCAAAAGGACAACCTCTGAAAAGCACAGGAGTGCTAAATACTGCAGGTTCCTCAACGGGCATGCACAGAAAGCATGATTTGAAGGAGACGGAGGCGTGTGTGTACCCAGCTTGCATGAGAAACCTCAGCAGGACTAAGGGCAGTTCCCTTGGCAGTCAGGGAAGACAAGCGTGCATGGCCCCTTGCAATGGTTCTGAATATTCCAGAGCCCCCCCAAGAGTCTGGGAGCTGGAAACGGAAGGTGAGGAATTGCTGGAGGACCTGCAGGCGAGGAGGCTGGGAATTACAAGAGATGGGAAGTTGGTAGGAAGGGTTTTGACCCCAGTGGCTCCCTGTTTGTCCATCTCAACCCCCAACCCCCATGCATTGGCATCATGCAGGAATATGCTAGAAGCTCCTGGCTCTAGTGGACCAAGCTGGTGGTTCTCAACCAGTGGTACCCATACTGCGTATGAGAAGCAAGGCGGAGGGCTTTCATAACCATTGCTAAGAACCCGCTTCTCTCCTCCCTACAGGGTTGAACTGCCATGCCCGCCTGTGGCCTTTCACCAGGCTGGAAGCCACCTTAAGTGCCCATTGTCATTGCCTGCTAAAATGAAAACAATAGAATAAGAAAGTGCTTCTTTCTACCTGGGTGGGACTCCAAGGGTGTCTCATAAGGCGACTGGTGGGACAGAAGACCAAGGAAGGAAGGAAGGAAGGAAGGAAGGAAGGCAGGAAGGGAGGAAGGGAGGAAGGGAGGAAGGAAG